ATGCATCGATACAAAACAATAATTATTTACACCCCTAAAAGAGATCACAAAGATGCCCCTGCCTGTCTTTGCCTAGGGCCCCAAATTTCCTAAACCCACCCCTGACTGAGTGTTGTATCTTTTTTTAGCAGTATTATAACTCTATTAGGGGCCACCTGTCAATCACGGGCCCCTAGGATCATTTTTCACCGTTACCTGAGGGGATGTGTTGTGTTTTTCCAAACGTAAAAACCAAAGCAAAATGATATTGTTGGTCTTGGCTTCAAATTATCTGAGGCTCAGCTTTCTTCCATGGACGTATACCATTACTGCGCAGTGCATAGTTCAGCCAATAAGTCCACTCACCTGTGATGATGAGCGTAGGTATAACCCCTGCCTCATGGAGCATTGGCTGAATGTGGCTGTTATACAAGGTGAGCGCTTTTCCTTTTCCGCTCTGTGGGTTGACAAACAGCATCAGCCTGCATGGACGAGGTAACGAGCTCAGCAACGCCCCTGGATAGGACAGAGGGGAAGAAAACAAAGGAACAAATCACTTCACATCCAAGGGGTTCTTCATCAGGCTCATTACAGGATGGTTACTCAGATCAAGGAACCATGACTCAGCAGGTTTTTGGATTGGAAGGGATGCTCTGCACACCGTAACACTACTGGGACAAAAAAAAAAAAAAGGCAGGAGTCGTGGAAAGCTTTCGTCACATACTTTTAGACATCGATATCTAATTAACCTCTCAATCTAATCTTGTTCTCTACCTTCCAATTAGCACAAACACACAGAGCGCTTTGTGATTCAAGATAATTAGATACTTCCTATATGATTTTTTTACTCTCAATATGAAAAACAAAGCATAAACTGAAGTATGGCGTCAGATTTATTTCAAAATTCCCATGAGCAAAATAAACATCGTGCTCGGGATCTCATCGCACGGGGAGAAAAGCAGTCATAGTGCAGAGACGCTTCGATAGCACGGTCATCCTCGACTATGATCCTGAGGGCACCTGGGAGGAGCTGCACTGCAAAAATGATCTAGAAATAAGAGAAAATGTATTGAATCAAGTGCATTTACTCTTAATTTGCCTACTGTAGGTAAATAAGATGATTTGCCAAATGAATGAGGTTCTTTTACACTTACAATAGAATATTTATAGAATATGCACTAGAAATAAGACAATGCAATATATTTTTCTTATTTTAAGTGTGAATTGTCTTGTTCCTTTGGCAAAGTGTCTTACACTGGAAACAATAAACATCCAGATAAGTCATTTTTTCTTCAAATAAGTGCATTTGTTCTTGAATTGAGAACGTAAAAGAGACATTTTGCCAATGGAACAAGACAATTTACACCTAAAATGAGAAAACACAATTGTATTCTCTTATTTCAAGTGCATTTTATCTAAATATCTTATTTTTAGTGTAAAAATACTCATTCCATTGGCAAATCATCTCATTTACTGCTCGAATTAAGGATAAATACACTTAATTTAAGACGTTTTTTCTCATCTCTAGATCGTTTTTGCAGTGTACCGCCTCAATTCAAGAAAAAATGCTCCTATTTTAAGGAAAAAAATGACCTATTTAGATTAACATTTTTTGCACTGTGGTTCGCAAGGAGAGCGATTTTCTTTTCTGGAAACGGCAGGTTCTCGCGCATGTTGTGCGATGGTAGATAAAACGTGCAGAAGTAGTTTAACATACACTTTGAGTATGTTTATTTTGCTCACGGGCGTTTTGAAATAAATCTGACGCCATACTTCAGTATCTCTCCATCCTACACGTCTTGTTTTATTACATTAAAGGTCTACAGTTTTTGAAATAAATCTGACGCCATACTGAAGCCCAGAAAACATTATCCAAACAAGAAATGCTGAACTAACAGTAGGTCTTAAAATTAATTTTATGTTTTTTTGTTGAATTCCTGGAGGCGTTTCATCTTTATGTGAGTTGACAAGTGTGACAGGAAGACATTTAATGTCCTTCAATAAAAAGAAATACAGAGGAACACTGGGCATCTGCCTGTAAACGCACACTCCATCGCCGCTCTTATTTTAAACAGTTTTTGTGGGGTTGGAAAATATGCAGCACACACTGGCAAAGTGACTTATTTAACAAATTTCCGCCCAAACACAAACCGCCGCAGTAGAGCCTGAATGTCCCGCCTGAACCCGAGGGAAACCTGAAGCTACAGTAATTAATGTCCCCTGCAATAAAAACCATTATTCTGTGGGCTTCACAGAACAGGCTGCAGCTCTGGCTGCTCAGCACATCATGGTGATTCACATTTATGTGTTGATGTATTTTCTCTGCACCAGTTGATTATATTATCAGTTCATCCCATGAAAAGGCTTTAAATGCTGTAAAGTGTGAAAGCAATGGATCATCCACATCTCTACGAGTTCAAACAGGATTCATTCTGTCTTTTTAATCTTGCACAATTTATACAGATTCACATAATAATTCATTTTAGTAACAATTTCCAAAAGCTGAGAGCATCATAGAAGACCTAGTAAAAAAATGCAGTCAATTTTCTCACAGTTCAACGTCGTTAGTTGGGATTTTATGTGACAGGCTGAGAGAGCAGAGCGTCATTAAGTGGAAGATGATGCATGGTTAACATTTTTCTCACAAAAGAAAATATGCAAAGTGTTGTTCGCCTTTTGGTCATCTCCTTCAGAGTTAATGATTTGTAAAACCAGTTATGTTTCAGGGTGTGTCTCTACCTGCTTTATACATCTAAAGACTGAAGTTTTTGTCTGTTGATCTTTTTAACGGAAAAGTCCGGTCAGCAAGGAATAATCAATGGATCATTTTTATAACTAAAATTAATACTTTTGCAGTGATTTAATGAATTTAGCGTTAATCAGTAAAAGAATAAAAACACTTATCATTTATTGAACAGTATGTAATTATTACATATTTAAAGTACTTTTTAGAAGTTTGAATTCTGAATATAACTGGACTTTTTCTTCATAATGGAATTAAAGTATCACCTGCAAACAGAAATGTTTAGATCTTTCCACAGAATTGATTCAGTATTGAACACATGCATGAATTTGGATAAAAACCGATGTATAAAAAAACTTGGATAGTTAGTAATGATCCATCCACAATTATTCTGCGGAATAAATGCTATTAAAGTACATTGAACTTAAAGGTATACTATGCAAACGGTGTTGATTTTCCAGCGAGGCTCCCCCCAGAGGGCGAAAGTAAAAGTGCGCTGTCGTAAATATGCTCAGCTGTTCTCCTGGTTTCTCCGTCAAGCCAGGCGCGGTTGTTTTGAGCTTAGCAGACAGGCGAACGCAACGAATCACCATGTCTACTGCGGTAAGTGACTATTTTGTTCCAAATTTCGAGTTTGAAAATGTAGCATGTTTTTATACATTATTTGTTATGCATGTGTCTAAATAACAAAGATTGTAGTTAGCCAAGTTCTCGCCGTAAAGCAAGACCGACTCTCGCGATGCACGAGACTTCTGAGCCTGTGGGTGCGGGCCGAGGGCTCCTGCAATTGCAAGTACGGTATTTCCCCTACAGACCACCAGGGCGGCCGAGAAAACCTTTGTTCGACCTGAAATGACTCATTTAATCATTCAAAACGTTATGGAACACATTAATTAACTGAAAAATGTTGCATAGTGTGCATTTAAGGAAACAAACAAAAAAATGAAGGCGTATGCAAACATTTGCAGGTTTAGCTCTAAAAATGCTAAAAATTAAACGGAAAATAATACTGTAACGATTCTGTGTTTCATCCTGTGTTTGGTTCTATTGGGGTCCATACAGTTATGTGTATTGTGTTCCTTTCTTTTATGTGTTTCATTGGCCTGACTCTGCTAGCTCCTGCTCCCATGTGACAGGCAACGGTTTCAGGACCGGAAGTGTTGAGCGGGTTAAGCGAGGCTAACAGAGAAGCTACCAGGTGTGTGCTAGCCATGTTTTAGGGGCGTAAGCTGTAGCCTCAGGAATAACAGCTCGTGTTTTCTAAATAAACGTTGACGTCGGCATTACTGGCATCATTACAATACTATGAAGCAATGAAATGTAACCAACCTTTTATAAAAACGTCTCCCCTTTGTCATTTTTTCTTTAATTATATCTAATTTCCCCTTAATTTAAGCAGGTAAACAAGGAAAAATGATGATTTAAAATAAATGTATTAGCTTATTTCTAGTGCAAAATATCAATTTATTTAATTTACACAGCAAAAAATACTAATTCTGTTGGCAGATCGTCTTATTTATCTGCTGAAATGAAGGTGAAGAACACTTATGGTGCAGTGCATTTTGTGTCAAAGCATTCAGAGGACAAATAAAAGGAGCTGTCTGAACTGCAGATACACATCCGACTAAAGCATAGAGCAGTTTTCAGGTCAGAGAGAGAAACAAAAACCTGCAGCGGTATTCCTTCTGGACAGTTGCTGGTCTTTGTTCTGCAGTCAACTGAATATCCATCATAATAAGACTGACAGCTGATAAATGAGGCAGAAATGAGGTGCAGCAGCTCTGGTTTCAAACCAGTCTCCATCAATCCACAGGGTTACAGAGTTTGAGCTCAGGAATGCAGGAAAACGGGTGAGAAAAAAAGAAAATGATGGGATATAAATGGCTCCTTTTGTCTCATTGCAACTGAAGCTTTAGCTGATCTGAGGTTGACTCCACAACCTGCCTGCCTTTATGTTTTACAGAGAATGGGGGTGCGGTTATTCTATAGTGCAAAGACTTCCTGCATCCATGTTAAAGGTTATTGTTGTTCTTTAAAGGAAAAGTTCGCTCATATTCAGAATTCAAACTTCTGAAATTACTTTAAATATGAAATTATGTCATAGTGTTCAATAAATGATCAGTGTTTTTAATTCAGAGTAATTTTCATGTGAATGTGCTTTACTGGAGGCATCCATGTTTGTCAAAGAACACTACTGCCACCTACTGGTTAGTGACGTCACGGTGCGGTATCGGCTGTTGATCAAGTCCCAGTGCTGTATCTGGTGTTTGTCACAACGCGCTATTATCCAAGTCATCTTGAAAACATTCTTCTTCCAAATGTTGGCTACATATTACGGGTTTTTTCTCTGGCCAGAAGTTCGATGGCAAATCCTCCCTCTTCAAGTTGGCGATCCAACGACCAACCCGTCCGTGGAGGATCAGGAATCAGAAAGGTGGAATAACTCTTTTTTTCACTTTTACCCGATGTATTCCAGCATCCAGCTGCCATGCACGTGGGCATTGTCAGTTTCACTATAGCTCTGGTGAATTTCAATGGTGAAGTCCTCTGGAAATCTCATGCTACGTTCACACCTAAAGCAGGAGAGGCAGCAGGAGCAGCTGCTTGATGCGCCTCAAGGTGCAGCAAAAGGTCCTGCAGCGCGTTTAGAGCAGCTGAAGCTGCGCCTCATGAGCTTCTGACGCGCTGTTTTTCACTTTGTCCAATTCAGCGGCTGCTGGAATTGAACAAATTGAGCTTTAGCTGCTGGACGCGCCGCATCAACCAATCAGAG